GTACCCCAACTAGGGCCTGACAGGCACTGTTGTGGCTGTGTGTGACCTGAACCCCGGTGCCCCCGTAAGACAAGACAACTGCCCTCTAGGGGTTCTGAATGTGCATGGAAGCAGACTGCCTCAGCTTCCCTGCGTGCAGCGGCTGGTGGGTTTCACCACTGGTCTTTCAGGCCCTGGTCCAATACTTAACCCACTGTGATGCACGCCAAGGTTCCTCTGCTTAATTTCACCCCATTGCTGGGGATCCTGATTCACAGCCGTCCTATAGGGCAGAGTAGAACTGCTGTGGGGGGTTTCTGAGGGGGGTAAATCTCTACAGGGGCAGACAGCCTCCTCTTTTTCCTACAGAGCTGATAGGGGTTCAAACTGATGACCCTGCGGTTAGCAGCCCCGTGCTTAACCTGCTGCATCGTCAGGGTTCCTTTTGCTTAACATTGGTTACTATTCTTTACGAAATACGTTACAGTCAATCCCCAGCAGAGGTCAGAGCACAGACTTTTCACCAAGAAAAACAGGTGGCTGTGGGGAGCGTCTTGTTTCCCATGCCTAAGGTCTGGGGTCTCCTGCTTTCCTTCATGACCCCCTTCAGAGCCGGTATTGCCAGATTCACGGGAATGCTCCAGACTGCTCCCACTCACCTCGCACCAAATGTTTCCGATGCGACTCTGGGGACCAAAGACTGCTCCTTTCCTTCCTCTCTCCTTCTCAAAGTTGCCTCATCTCTAACAAACCTGCTAAAGCCCCCCTTCAAAGCCCGGGTAAGCGAGGGGTGTCACAAAAGAACTCCGAATAGACTGTGAATTCCCCAGATTAATTTAAAGGTGAGACCAGGGAGCCAGCTTCCTGGGACCACACCTGAGCACACAGTGCCATGCAACGGGTGGCTTCCTTGTTACGGGTCCTGGTGGCACAAGCGTTAGAACACCCAGCTGCAAACCAGAGGGTCATCGGTTTGGGACCACCAGCTGCCCTGCGGGGGAAATGACTTGGCGATCTGCTCCCGTAAAGATCACAGCCTAGGCAACCCTCTGAGGCATTCCTACCTTGTCCTGTGAGGTCACAATGAGCCGAGTGGCTGCCTGGCACATGGGTCCTCCCTCTACTGCTCTTCACTCTTCTTAGTAGGTCTAAGTGAATTCAATACCCTAAAGACTCCTCTATGCTAAGACGTATCTCCATAGGGTTGGCAGTGGCTCTCCAGGAATTTTGGATCAGCCTACCCAGGTTGCCTCTACAAAAGATCTCTTGGCACTTGTTTCTTAGCGTGACCAACACCTGGGAGTGCTCCTGTAAAATTGCTGACAAGCTCATACAAGGGAAGAGAATGCCATCCCCATAAGCCAGGGACTTTGCTACTTCAAACAGCTCTGCCCCCAGGTCTTCCTGCAGTAAGCCCCCAGCGGCCATCCTCGGCCAACAGTATAGTCATCCAAACAAGTCCCCTGGCATGGGCTAGCTGTCAGCCAGAAGCTTTGGGGAGCCGTCAGGTCATGCTCTTGGTGAGCCCCTGGTGTGGCCTCAATGACTGACGACGGGATCATCAGCTCTTCAATCAGCTTCAGCGAATGACTCTCCTTTCAAAGAGCTGCTGGCTCCCTTCTGAGCACAGTGGGCATGCCCTGTGTGGCAACACCAGCTCCTCAGACATCCAGAACAATCCTGTTCACCTAAGAACTGAAAGGAGCTGTGTGTACTCTACTGTGTTTCTGCTGGGCTTGGAAAAGGGCTCGGAGCGAGAGCTTAGTTCGTAAAGGAAGAGAGCAAGTCTTAGGAGTCCACGCTACAAAATTATAGATGATTTTTCTAAGTACCCCCCACATACATGACTTTTACATTTTTCAAGCACAAGTGATAGTTTCTGATGTAACTCACAAGGGAGAAACAAAGGCCAGTCACAGGAAAAGATCTTTGAAATTAGATGCACCACAGGGCAGAGCAAAGCACCAATAATTCTCAGGAAACGAACCCTGGAAGCATGTTTCATTCTGGCAGGGAGGCCCTTCCTCAGGCTGGCTCCCTTAGGCGAGGGCTCCGCAGGACACGGCTCCCGGGCAGCAGCCTCTGTTTGGTTCGGTTGGGCACCGCGGGGACAAGCTGTGAGCTGAGGCACCCCGTCCCAGGGAGGCTTTTTGGCAGAGAGCCAGCTTGAGGCAGAGAGCAGTCAGTGCCCCTGAAACAGTCCCAATCCCTGCGAAATCTAGACCCTTGCCCTCCCAAAGGACACGGCTTTTTTGCACTCCTGTGGTTTCTCTCGAGAAGGCTGAAATGCCTGCGCCAAGGCAGGAGGGGAAACAGGCCCCAGCCCACCTTGTGCTGTGGCATGGCGGATGGCAGGACAGGCCTTTGCCTCCATTACTAACCTGCTGTAGAGGGTGGTGTCGGCGATGACGGGGACGTGAGAGGTGAGCTGGCCCCAGATCCTGCTGAGAAACAGAGAAACCTTTGTACGGACTACGGCAAGGCAAGGCATCTGGAATATGGCTCGAGCCGGGGCCCACCACCCTCGGAGGCTCTGTGCATGGTCTCGTGCATGCACCTTGTGCACAACCACAGCTGCTGGTGTGCCGACTCTAATCCCGATGCCCGTGTGCCCTCGGGAGGGGAGGCCTGAGCTCCACAGGACTTTCGGCAGCTGATCTTCCAGAAGCAGAATGCCAGGCACCTCCGGGCGGACTCACCCCTCTAAGCTTCCGGTTAGCAATCTAGTACATTAGCCATTTGCACCACCCAGTGACTCTATGGGACCAGAGGCCTCCACCCCGCTGCATGGTGCACTCCCCCCGCAGACCCCTGAAGCTTTCACAATGCCGCCTCCTACTGCTCCCTGTGGCTGCCCTGCTGCTCACCTAATGGCTTGTCAACTGGCCCCAGTATATTCTCCTAGCCCCAAGCTGGGTGTCCACACACACACAGGGCAGTACAGAACCCTCCCATGGGGAGCTCTCCAGAAGAAGTGGGCTCTCCCACAGCGCCCAGCCAACAGTGTGCTCTGGGGGAACTTCCATTCCATCAGCTGGTACAGCCCTGGTGGAGCAGTGGTGAAGGGCTTGAACCAAAAGGTCAGCAGCTCCCACCCACCAGGCCCTGTCCTGGAGAAGGAGGAGGTCATTTGCCTCCAGGAGAGCTCACACGATTGGAGACCCTTGTTCTACTCTGCCCTGAAGCTCGGTGTGAGTCAAAATCATATCAACTCAATGGCAACAGGCTTGGGTTTGGTTTGACGTTCAATGAGAAAGGGTTGGCCTGTTCAGTCTGTGGAGTTCCTACACCCTGTCCTACCGGAAACTCGGGGGACATGTTAGAGTAATGGGCATATTCCCAAACATCACATGCTTTCTCTGAACCTAATAAAAGATTCCCAAGTTCTCGCCATCTGCCCATTGCTTGAAATCCTTCAAAAATATTCTCCTGGTCTGACTTAGAAGTAGTCCCAGTGGGCCCCAGTGGGGCCCAAAAAGCCCCCTATCACACACAGAGGTCCCAGCAAAGACTTCACTCACCAAACTTCACCATCTAATGCCTCCTGGGGCTGAGGGCACATACACCTACACGGAGGGCTCGAGACCCTGAGAAGGCAAACCAGCTATGCAGGTGAAGGTAAAGCCTCCAACGTCCACTTCATTCATGACCCACAGTGCACGCTGGTGCCTCATAGAGACTGGGCGTGGCAAGAAATGCCCTACTGAGTCATACTGTCCCTAGTTTAATACCTCCCCATTTATCTGCAATATTCCCTCAGCTACCTATAAATAAGAGGTTTGGGGGATTTTCCTTTTTACCGAAAAAGGAAATAAAAATGACCCAGGTTGTGTTTATACAGCTTTGGCGCACAGTGTCCATCTCAGTGGGGAGAAGACGGCACTGTGCCTCGAACAGGGTTTGGGGATGTTCTGTGAATTCCATCCAGAGCTGCTAAGTTCTTCTCCTCAACCGCTGACGGGCACTTGGGGTCCCACCTGGCAGCATCAGCACAGAGCTCTCCAAGAAGGCGGTCCTCAGGAAGGGGCAGGACACAGTCAGGTGTGCTCTGCTTCATCAAGGACTTCCTTCTGGACAGCACAACTCCCGGATGTGTCACAGCACACACTGGTTGGAGACACAGCCTCCTTCTAAAGAAGGCAATGGCTGGTCTGTGCACATCCGTGAGCCTCGGGGAAGAGACCCACTGACCAGAGGCTCTTGCCCCTCCTCCTCACCTCACCTCTATTCTAAAGGGGGGCTGCGTTCTCCCCAGTGATGTCAACGTGATTCCCCCTGGGGTCTATGATTGTTCTCTGTCCCAGCTCGTCCAAAGTCGAGCTCTGGCCACCACTATATGCTACAGGTGGTCCAACCCTAATTCTCTTGCTCACCCTTCAGTTTCTCCTCACATCCTTAGAAGAGGCTGCACGCATTGAGAAGGCTGAGGAATGAGTTGTAAACACCCCCAACTCCTTCTCTCCTGCTTTTAAACACCACTGTCCCATCACCCGGTCCTCCAGGAGCAGATGGGGGGGGGAAGGCAGTGCTTCTCCCAAGACTGAGACAGACAGCTGGGCTCTTCCTGCAATCCCATGCCTTCTTGGGGGGCCTAGCTCCCAGTAACCCTTTTTATATCTTCACCTTATTCCTCTCTGTTAGATCCCTCCCCTGTGCAAAGGAATAGTCACTGATCCCTCAAGCTGAAAAAAAAAATTCCTTGCCTTGGCCCCCTAAGCTGAGCCAAAACTATGTGAGTTAGGAGAAAACTTCCCCTTCTCTATACAGAACTCCATGGAAGGCCCAAGGAATCTGACTGATTTCCAAAAACGGGGGCAACGAGGCCCAAGGGCAGTCAGGCTGAGTGAGGAGCAGCTGGGAGTGACAGCAAGGTCTGCCGGCTCAGGTCAGTGCTCTCTGCACCACCCTAACTTTCCAGAGTGATGTTTCCCATCATCCTGCGAATGTCCCGTCCACCACCGCGTGGGGACCAGAGCAGAGGGCAGGACTGAAGGTCAGTTTTGCTCATGGAGGCGCTACTGGAAAAACAAGCGGCCTTGTATTTTAAGTCCAGTCCATTTGATGTTCACTGCTAAGACTTCTGTGTCTCTGATGATCACGTCTTGGCATCAGGAAAGAGGGGGGCTACTCTACAGTCTCTGGGGCCCCTGTGAGCTGTGCATGCCTTATCAGGTGTTCCTCAGGGACGGAGCACTCTTGTTCTCCGCATTCATCAGTCTACTGGCCACTGGAATTCAGCCTCTTCACTCCTGACCCTGACCTCCGGAGCCGGGGCCCCACCACAATTCATACCGTTTACCTGAGTTATTGGAATTGCTGTATTTTGTCGGATGTTCTTCACTGTCCTCAATAGCAGACCGCTTGGATTTCTTTAAAAATAGAAGAAGGGGGACAAACGCAATGAGCAAACATGGTGAAGCTGGAAATTAGGATGAAAATATTTTCAGGCCCACACAGTTAAATTAGTTACAGACAAGGCCAGATTTGGCCTCATAACTTAATACAGCAAAGAAGCCACGCGCCAAACCAAAGGGGACAAGAAAAGCAGGACTGCTAGGGTCGCTAGCTCAGCCCCCCATTAGAGCACGCCACATGGGCCCAGGAGCCCGGGAACTGCGTGGTCCAGTTCTTGGCTGGTACCAGGCGGCTCTCTTTTAGAAGCAGCAAACCAGCCATCTGGAAATAATTTTAGCTTTCAAAGAGGTATAGCATAAAATCTGCCATTAACTGAATGTGTGCCGTTAGCCTAGAATGTTCTTCACATGCAGTCAGGGATTCCGAGGGCCGCCAGGCTTACCTTTCGAGCTAAAATCTTTCTCTTTTTCCTCTCTTCCTCTGAGCCGTGGTGTGACTGCGCCCTCGTCAGTCTCCGATGCTGGTGAATCTGAAGAGATCACAAGCCCTCCATAAATGGAAGCACGGCTGACATGAACCCATCCACTAGGAAAATGCTGCTCCCACATGTTTTGTCAAACCCTATGATTGGGATGAAACGATCTTTGCCCAGGCTGCGGGCCCCTGGGATAGGGTCTGGCTGTCTGGGAGGAGGGATGTGGGAGAGCGCAGACCTTTCTGGCTTTCCCACCACCTCCCGATGTGATGTGGCCCTGCCCAGACAGGATGATCACCCTTTGGGGACTTGTGTGTTGCCCCTGCTGGAAGGAACTCTTGGGAGGGCAGGACTGGGTGAGGTATTCAACTCTGTGCCCACCATCGAGCCCGGATCAGCTTCGGAGAAAGTGTGTCGGAAGGGCTCGTGGAATGACCAGAGTCAGAAGGCAACCACTGTGACCACCACAGCAGAATCTGCCAAGGACGGACCCCGGGGCACTCAGAGACCTCAGGGCAGTGGAGCGAACTTTCAGTTTACCTGTTTCTGTTCTTCAACTAGTCTCTTCTCTATACATTCTTTGGCAATTCTCAATGCCTCTTTTAACTTTGTGGGGATCTGAAAGAAAAGAGAAAGTACGTAGTACATTGAGTAAAATCGCCAGTTTCCTGGGCCCTGGTTACAAAGAAGGGGTAGTTGTTTACCAACAAGGAGGTTATCTGGTATAACGTCTGTTGCAAGCTGTCCACACGAACCCTAGCCCACACTTCGGTATCCCCAACACACCTCTGTCGCATTTGAAGCAATGTGCACCAGCAGGGAACGTTCCGAGGAATTCTAATCCTTTAGATTTCAAAGATTCACAGGGATGTTCTCTGTGAAAAAATGTGGTGTCCTGCATTTCACAGGGTGAAGCTGCTTCCGTGGGGAGGCTTGCAGGCCTGGGAAACAGACACCCAGACCACACGGAACTTCGGGGCCGTATTAGTGTTTAAAGCATTTACATTTTTAAACACCAAGAAGACAGATGTCTGCTCTCAGGTTATATAACCTTCTAATCCGTTCTCCCAAGCAATCAAGTGGAGAGCCAGCCTAGTGCCCATGAACCACATTTCACCCCCTGGATACGTGCATCTTTAAAACCCCTTTCACAGCGGACACCTCACCTCGGCTGGGGTTAATTTCTCAAGATGAGGGGAGAGGAAGAAGAACATTCCATTGCTACCATACAACATTGTGCTAAGGTACCCCAAACCGACATACACTCCAACAGGAGTTATCCATGAGCCTTACTAGGAATTCAAGTCAAGACGGGGCGTGGGGCATGTATGTCTTGGAGATGGCAATTACAAATCTGCTGGTGGGCAAACTGGGGGGAGCACCCTCCTGTTGGGGAAAAACACTTAACAAGATTATCTAGAACCCAAGGGGAAACTATGTTCCTAATGCCACCCGTTTCACCTACTTTCTATCTAACCCTTGGTGAATCAGACCATGTGTTATAGACTACTGGGACTTTACACTCTGCATTTTCAAGGAACATAACATCTTTCCTGGGCTACACCAGAAGGATTCAATGTGGGAACCCCACCAAGGGAACTGCGTCTTACCACAAACTTACCTGTAGCAGATTTAAGGAACTGGCACGCTCCCTTGGACTTAAGGCTGAACCCCCCT